ATTTTTGCCAATTCTATTCTCAACCAATTACAAATGACTTAAACATTGAGAAAACAGTAATTTGGTCGAATTTGGTGACAATAATAGAAACTTTTTTTTAAGTAGTTTGAACTGCTAAAAAAGCATTTTATTGGAAAATACTGTGATATTTAAATGCATTAATTTGTCTAAATAAATATACAATTTCCAAGTATTGTATTATATACTCACTATCTCTGAACTGAAGCTGTAATGTTTGCATGGGTATATACATCCAAAATATGTTTTTTCTAGTAAAAATATCGCTTCTGGTCATTACTGCATCTGCCTAAATTGTTTATAATTAATCACTATTATATAAATTCTAATATCAAAAATCTAATAAATGGCAAACTACTGGGTTGTCTTCTCAATATAGTGAAAACAGAAGTTCAAGCGTAATCGGTCTTAGGATAGTTCTGATTGCTGTTAAGAATGAGAATAAAAATAAACTCCATAAAAATCTAAATTATATATAGTACATATACTAATTACAAGCGACTTTAGTAAAATTTGGTATTATATAAATTATATGATATATTAATAGAGCAATTGATGTTTTTAAAAAGAAATTAATCATATGCCAAGCGCAACTGTTATGTAAGTAGATTTAACGAAAGTTTTCAAGCGCCCTGTTGAAACTCGCGTCCCTGGTCGCGGCGCAAAGCAAAAGCGAGTAAGTGACTAGGGAGTGGATACGGTCGGTTTTCTCACTTGTAAGTGCACATAACGTGACAGGTGTAATATGTAACAACCCAGAGCGCTACTGAAAGACGTGGAATCAGTCTAAAGTTTAGAGGGTATACAATTCCATACGGGTAGGATTTCACTTTATTTTTAACGCGTATTGTTGGACTATAATAATTCATCTAGAATTTAATTTTAGATTCAATTGTACCAAATGTCGGTTCAACCCTGCAAGAATTTTTTTGGAGGATGCTTTAAATAAATTTATAATTCAGGATTTTAGATATTATGGTAGAGCGGGGTTTAAAGGTCCGTGAGTAAAAAGGTCGACCACCAATATCTCAAAAATAAGTGAAGAATTTTTTAACAACATGTTTGCAAATAAGGCGCAAAATATCGGTTTCTATCGGTTAACTTTGTATACATTTTAAGTAAACGTTATTTAATTGTTTTATGAGATGTAAATTAGATTCAACAGATTTATAAAATTTATCTATAATAGCTTACGTAAGGGTGGGGTTAAAAGGACCAACTGAACCTTTACCCTGGAAAAGGTGCAAAAAATAAAATATAGTAGATAAAAAAGTTAATAATAATTAAGATAATAAAAGCAATTTTACAAGAGATAAATCAAATACATAGTTATTCCAACTCGGTTGATGAATATTTCTGACAAAATATTAATTCAAGATTATATACATTATTAGAAGTTTATATTTTTTGGTTAGTTGAACACTAATGCTATTCTTTAGTAATATCCTTTAAAATAAAAAATAAGACATTAGGCTGTTTCCTCGTTTCCTGTTTTGAATTTACCCCGCCTATGACGTAAAAAGGACCATGCGAAAAATTTTTGATTAACAGCGAAAAAAAAGCATTTTTACAGTGACAGATTAGCTGGAAATTTTATTGAACATAGATAGATGTTTGTTAGTTATATGTTATATGTTATGATATAATGTGTTTGGTTTTATC